CACACACACACACACACACACACACACACACACACACACACACACATTGGGGTTCCTCTTCCAATACTCTACCAAAGTTACTTTCACCAAGCACATCCCAGACCTTCATTACTGAATTATTTATCTAGTTCCCTTCTTCCAACCCATCTCTGAAGCTTAGGATTAGTTTGACTACAGCAGTTGAGGATGTCTAATAACAGCAGGTGAATAAGTTGATGTTGCTTGGTTAGAGCCAGAGGACAAATCACTTCTTCTTCCAATTTCTAAATCTGGTGAAACATTTAGAGGGACTTTTCCCCTACTTTTGAAGCTGATGAGATTACAAAACAAGCTTAAAGTTCTGTTGAAGGACATGACAATATGACTTTGTCCTATATGGTTGAACATGAGGTAAGCCTTATGGTGAAGAGTGCCTTTAACAACAGGAGACAAGTCTGGAAGGACTGTTTTTTTCTATCTCAGGATTTATCTCTTGGGTAAAATGGTTTCTCTAGATTACTTCTGAAAGGTATCCAATGACTAGTTTTATGTATGTGTGATTAAGAAGACTATACCCATACAGAATGTCTGGCAGTACCTCTAAATCCTGAGTGAAAAAGGTACAGCAGGATCTCTTTGAGCCCTGGTATTATAGTAGCCTTGAAACTCTTTGTCTTTCTAAGCCATGTAATTATTTGCTTTTCCTAAAACACTGCTTAATCATCTCTCACACACAAACATATAAACTCACAATGAAAAAAGAATCAACGGTTGCCTATTACTTAAATTAAAAGGCCTTAATTTGGAATTTACACCCTCTCTCGTCTGTCCCATACTAACTTGTCTCTTGTTTCATAAAACTCTTCAGCTCAAGATCTGGTCTAATCACTTTCCCTAAATAGCCACTTATTTAAGGTCCAGTTCACTATCTCAGGCCCTACTAATCCCCTGTAGCATTTGGAGTCCCTATCACTTAAACTGCTAACTTTTTCTTTAAATCCAGGTAACATGTCTAACTGGTTCTATTGAGCAAACACTCAGCTCTTCAAAGGGAAATGCCTTAACATTTTTAAAAATTATTATTATAGTATTCATTTTAAGAAAATCAAACACTGAAGCATAATTTGTTTCAATGAATAAGCCAAAATTCTTCATTTCTCCAATCCCACAGTTTTCGAAGAAGATATTACCCTACTATAAATCTGCCATGTACTCTTGATTTCTCACATTCCCAACTGCCAGGATGTTTAGCTTCTTGAAAACAGGAAATTACATGGGGTGGGGACGGTCTGGGGATTGAACCCAGGGACACTTTACCACTGAGTTACATTCCCAGTTATTTTTTATTTTGAGAAAAAGTCTCACTAAGTTGCTTAAGGCCTAATTTGCTGAGACTGGCTTCAAACTTGTGATCCTCCTACCTCAGCCTCCCAAGTCTCTTGGATTACCAGCAAGCACCACCATGCCAACAGTAACCTACATTTTTATATCACCTCACCCCCCAACCAGATTCAGATTTACATATAGATTCTTGTTCCAAGAGTGCTGGGACGAATGTCCAAATTTAGCCAGGCACAGCAATTTAGCAAGACCCTGTCTCAAAACAACTTCAACAAAAAAGGGTTGGAGATATAGCTCAGTGGTAGAGCACCCAATTCAATCCCCAGCAAAGCAAGGAGGGAAAAAAAAAGTCCAAATTTATAAGTTTCTAGTTTTTATTGAAAATTCCATTTATAAGAGGATGATACTACTATCATTTTCTTTCCTCTTTATACATTCCTATTGTTTGCAATTTTGCTTCTCCTCAGTCAGGCTCTAAACACGTTTATCTTTTTTCTGTGTGCTGGAGCAGGGGGGCATGTATTCAACTCATGGACACTCAACCACTGAGTTGCTTAGCACCTGCTTTTGCTGCTTTGAACTCGCGATTCTCCTGCCTCACTCAGGGGCGCTTAACCAGAGCCATATCCCCTGCCCTTTTTATTTTTAAGACAGGATCTCGCTAAATTACTTAGGGCTTCGTTAACTTGCTTAGCCTGGCTCTGAACTTTCAATTCACCTGCTTCAGACTCCAGAGCAGCTGGGATTATAGGCGTGCACCACACCCGGTTCTCCTACTATTTTTAATTTTTCTATTTCATTAGCTATAATTTTTATTAATTCACTCTTTCTTTTTAAATTTGCCTTATTTTAGTATGTTTTTAAAGTTTCTTAAGATGAATTTTGAGTTCTTTTATATCTTTATTTCTTTTTAAAGGAGGAAATTTAAGTCTTTTTCAAGAATAGCTATTGCTAGGTCCCACGGATTTCAGCATTGAGTATTCTTTGCATTGCATTCTAGATCGTTTGTAATTTTGCTTTTGAGCTTCTTTTGATCTAAGTAGCTTTTCTTTTATTTATTTATTTATTTATTTTTGCTGGCTTGCTCATATTCTAGTGCACTTTTTTCCCTAGTTAATCTGGTCCTCTGGTACTTTTCCTTTTCATAATGGTCACCTTACTTTCCTAGAACCTTTGAATTTTTCTTTTTCCTCCCTCACACTCCCACCCCATGTCCCAAGAATTGCTTTTTATCCCAAAGGACTTGGTTGGCAAATATTTTCTCCTTGAAGGGATCTCCTTCTTCGGTTGTGACTCTCTGAAAAAGTCTGGAAAGAAGTTAAATGGAAAACATAACAGAGGAGCAAGTGTTGCAACAGGCAATTCACAAGGGTAGAATTTCCCAGTCATTTATCTCACCCTACACTGCCCTAAACTACAATTCACAGAGAATATAAGTCCGCCAAATTTGGTCCCCTGGTTTCCGCCTCCACCCTCACCTCCCCTTCGCCTCCACAGGGACTGCAAGAGGTTTTCGCTGGGCCCAGCAGCCTCAAGTCCAGGAGTATTGTAGGCAAGTTTGTAGCCTGCTCCACTCGCGTTAGTTCACGCCGGAGTTTACCAGAGGCCGCAGGCGGCGCGGAGGCTTCTGGGAGATGGAGGCCTCGTTACTAAATGCGCAGGCGCAAACCTGGAGCTGGGGCTGGAACTGGGGCTGGAGCTGGAGCTGGTGCTGGTGCTGGGGCTGGGGCTGGGGCTGGGGGTTGCGGCTGCGGCTGCGGCTGGGGCTGGGACTGCGCGGTGCACGGCAGTGCCTGATGGACGCCCCGCCTCTGTAGGGTGAGTCTCGGCCTTGGGCACTTGGAGATCCAACTCCAGTTGCTTTTTTGGTCACCGCAGATAGCGGCAGCCCTACAGAGAACAGACCTCGCAGGCAGTTTCGTGGGATTTTGTGCAGAGGGGTCTGGTTCCCCACCCACCCTCGCTGTGCGTCACTTGTCAGGGAGGGTCCTGCTGGGCGATCTTGGGGTCCCTCTTCTCCTTTCTGGAGATCTCAGAGGGAAAACTGAAGGGTGGGGATGGTTTGTTATAACTGGCGTAGACCACAGCCTCTCCCCAGGGCTTTCGGGTGTGCACCTGCCAACGCCAGGCAGAGTTCAGCTGGGCGTTGGCATCGCTGAGGCATCACTCTGGAACACTGGTTGTGCATTTGAGCGCCTTTGTCTTTTCCGCCAGCATTAACTGTGTATGCTGCTTTAGTGGCCACTGGGTGCATCTATCTCTTGCCCTGTTAGATATCCTGACGCTGGACATTATACCCCTAAGTCTGTTCTTTCTAAAAGTCCCATAACAATCCTGCAGGAATCCTGGACGTTTATATGTGATCTAACCCTTAGAAGGACTTTACATTTTTCTTTTGCTGTAGTACTACCTCAGAAATTTGAGGAAGGGTGGAGGGGCTATCTGGGAGGGGTCTTCCTCTTCTACACCATGCACAGAGAGCTGCTCAGCTCTGGACTTTGCATCTGGAAATGTGGGTTTTGTTTCAGACTTGGTTTCTTTCCCATAGTTATTTCTTTCTGTGGGTCCCAGAACAGTTTTTGTTATGGCATTTATCTAGTTGTAGAAAAACATTTTACATGTCTGTCTCTACCAGATTGCAACTTTCTCAAAGACAGTGACTTAGTGGAGCAGGATCCTAGCAAGGATTGAAGGAGAAAGAGGAAAGAGAATTGTACAGGGCTTGGCTCTTTGTAGATGTTGAGTGTGTGTTTAATGGATGAAAAAAATGAATGATTCCTTATGTTACAGGGTGCCCTTGAAAGATTCCAGCTGGTGTGGGCTTTCTGCAGAGCTAGTCCAGGCTACCATGGCTGTACCACTAACAGCAGCTAAAACTCTGGCCCTTCAGGATACACAGGAACAAGAGAAGATTGTTATTTTGAAGCCAAAAGACGAGGAACAGTCTTGGGAATATGAGACCAGACTACCTGGGAACCACTCTAGCAGCCAAGAGATCTTCCGTCAGCGCTTTAGGCAGCTCTGCTACCAGGAGACCCCTGGTCCAAGGGAGGCCCTGAGCCGACTACGGGTACTCTGTTGTGAATGGCTAAGGCCAGAGAGACACACCAAGGAGCAGATCCTGGATTTACTGGTGCTGGAACAATTCCTGACCATCCTGCCTGAGGAACTCCGGTCCTGGGTGCGGGAACATCACCCAAAGAGTGGAGAGGAGGCTGTGACTGTGCTGGAAGATTTAGAGAAAGGACTTGAACCAGGACTGCAGGTGGGAAGGGGGATTTGATCTGTTGTGGGAACCAGATCAATGACCTTCAGGCTGGACAGAGGGGCAGCAATAGGGGGAGTTGCCAAGGTAGAGCAGTTAGTATGTGTTTCTATCTCTGTCTTTTCCACCCTCAAGCTCTGAATGAGAAAGAGACTCTAGCTCCTCTTCCTTTCCCTGTGCTGACTCTGAGGAGGCTCTCTAAAGTCTCTTTGGAAGCTTTGGTCCCCCATAAACCGAGTGGTGCCTGATCACCTCCAGGTTCCAGGCCCTGCAGATGGACCTGCACAGGAAGAGCCGTGGGAGAAGAAGGCATCTCTGGGACAAGCCCAGGAGGAACTAAGCATTCAGCTCCAACCTAAGGAGACCCAGCTCAAGTGTGAATCTCAGGAGACCCAGCCTTTGCCAGAGAGTGGTGAGAAGCAGGATTCTGTGGGGAGGGAAGAGGGGAAATGACATGAAAAAGGACATATAGGTCCTCAAATGTTTGCTATGCTCATCATGGCCTCACAAGTCTTGCCTCCTAGGTCAGAGACTTAGCCTATCTCATCACTTATAAAATCGGGATTACAATAAGGTACCTTAGGGCTGGGGGTGTAGCTGTATAGCAGAGCACTTGCCTAGCATGTGAGAAGCTTTTTAATTCCATCCCCAGCACCACACACACACACAAAAAAGACCTACCTCATAAGGTAACTCTGTGAATTAAATCAAATTTATATTTTTATCTGGCTATAAGGCTGGCTAGTATTTCTCAGCTTTAAGGATCCCTAAAGCAGGACCACAAAATATTTTACTCACTGCCTGCCTTATCTCCACTGCTCTTGACACCTAGTTCAGAATAGCTCTGCCATGAACTAGAGTCTAGCCTTAAGATCCTTTTCTTTTGGTTTCCCCATGTCTCCCACAACACATTTTTTTTAAGCCATAAAGCACTCTTATGTGAGATACAGCCTGTCATTACCTTAATGTGCCATGTACACTCTACCATCTAAAAGCCTTATTTGAAACTTTTATGTCTGTACCTACCTACCTTCTTCCTTCAGATTAATTGAAAAAACTTTCTTCTTGGCCTGCATACATGCCCACAAACATCCTCACCTCTTTCTCTAATGCAAACACTAAACATGGAGACAGTAGGCTTAGAGCCTCAGGACTGTAAACTGTCTTTGCTGACCTCTGTAGCATCATGTGAATGTATTATTGCTAATCACTATTTGGTTCTATTCAATATTTGGTTCAGCACCACAATCCCACTACCAAACAAGCATGTGAAAAAATTGAATTTTACTACAACAAAAGGGAAAAACAAGAAATGGAAAGTAATCTGCTAAAGTATGTTTTATCTCCCAGTTCCCCTTCCCTCCTTGTCTTTCTTCCAGACTCTTTCTTGTCTTCTTTACTTGTTTTGTTTACTAAACAGTATCAGCTTGATACTTAACTTTTAAAAAGCTAGGTATCATGTGCCTTTTTTATAATAGCAAGCATATTTCAGATTTCTTTAACCACTGCATTTAATCTGGAAAAAAATGGATTTTTTAAATCAAATGATCTTTAGTGATTTTAAAGCAATTGCTTTTTGTATTCCTTAGACCATAGGGAGTGTTAGACAAATAAAATAACTAATACAGATATTTAAAAACAAAAATGCAAAGCACTCTCTTATTCCTTTTTATTAATTTTTTTAGTTGTTAATGGACCTTTATTTAATTTATTTATTTATATGCAGTGCTGAGAATTGAACCCAGTGCCTCACACATGGTAGGGAAGCACTCTACCACTGAGCTACAACCCCAGGCCTCTTCTTCTTTTTTTAAGGAGCAGATCAAAGAGAAAGGCAGAGAGCACCAAGCTGTAGGAGGCAGGGAGCTGATGAGTCCTCCCTGCAAGGAGATCCATGCAGCTATGTGAGGATCCTCTTTAGTGGCTGAAGAATTATGGGGCAGGAGAATGAATGAGTTTACAGAGCTGAGAAGGGCAGTCTATCTGTCTTTAGGAACATCCCTTTCTCCCGATCCTAATGATTCTTCTTTGTTTTTCCCTTCCTTATCAACATTAGTTGACTACTCCCCAATTCCTTGAAAATACTTTTTCTTCTTATTTTTGACTAAATTCTAAAAAGAGCCTGCTTTGAAACTTTTTTTCCTTCTTTTTTTTTTTTTTTGTGTGTGTGTGTGTGTACCGGAAATTGAACCCAGGGGCACTCAACCACTGAGCCACATCCCCAACCTTTTTTTGTCTTTTGAGACAGGGTTTCCTAAGTTGCTTAATGTCTTGCTGAATTGCTGAGGCTGGCTTTGATTTTGTGATTCCCCTGCCTCAGCCCCCTGAGCTGCTGGGATTATAGGTGTGTACCGTTGTGCCTGGTGAAATTTATTTTGCAAATGAGACTGTAATATTTCATTCTGGAAAAATGAAAAATTATCTGGAGGGACAGATAAGTGAGGAGTGGGTGGGGGAGAAAACAAAAAGAAATCCTCTCCTATGCATCATTACATCACCAAGAGATAACCATGGATAATATCTAAGTAAATATCCTTCCAGTGTTTTTCCTGTGTCTTTCTTGATTTAGGAAAAACTGTTAATTTAGTGTCAGCTGAAGATTTTATTTAGTGAATATTTTTAACCTTTTATTTTCTTTCCAGAAATATAAGTTCTAATATAAGTGTCATTTCTCCATATATCCAGAACAGGTATTTTTAAATTTTCCATCAGTTGTTGCAGAAGATGGCCCAAAACCCAAGGACAAAGGATCAGTGCCACAGCTGCCCATTACCAAAGTGGAATCACAAGTGTTCTCAGAAAAACTCACTACTGACGATTCTCCATTTGAAGCTACCTCTGAAGTTGAGGGCACCTTAGAACAGCAGCAAAGAAATTCCAAAGCAAAGAGACGGAAGTGGTCCCCTGCTCAAGGGAAAAGTTTCAGACAGATGGTTGTCACAAATAAGAAAACTCCCACAGGGAAGAAAGACCATGAATGTAGTGAATGTGGGAAAGCCTTCATTTATAACTCACATCTTGTAATCCACCAGAGAATTCATTCTGGAGAGAAACCCTATAAGTGTAGTGACTGTGGGAAAACTTTTAATCAGAGCTCAAACCTCATTCAGCATCAGAGAATTCATACTGGAGAGAAACCCTATGAATGTAGTCAATGTGGAAAGGCCTTCAGGTGGGGTGCTCATCTTGTTCAACATCAGAGGATTCATTCAGGAGAGAAGCCCTATGAGTGCAATGAGTGTGGGAAGGCCTTCAGTCAAAGTTCATATCTTAGTCAGCACCTGAGAATTCACAGTGGAGAGAAACCTTTTATATGTAAAGGATGTGGGAAAGCTTACAGATGGAGTTCAGAGCTTATTAGACATCAGAGAGTTCATGCTAGCAAAGAGCCTTCCCAGTGTATTGAAGATGATAAAGTCTCCAGACAGACTTGTACTTTTGTCTAAGCTACTTAAGACTAGATATCATAAAAGTTAAAAGCATCTTAAGGTTTTTCCTGTGTCTTTCTTGATTTAGGAAAAACTGTCAATGTAGTGTCAACTGAAGATTTTATTAATTCATGTCCTTTTATTAAAATTAACATAGGGCTGGGGATGTGGCTCAAGCAGTAGCGCACTCGCCTGGCATGCGTGCGGCCCGGGTTCGAACCTCAGCACCACATACCAACAAAGATGTTGTGTCCGCCGAGCACTAAAAAATAAATACTTAAAAAATAAATAAATAAAAAAATAATAAAATTAACATAGCCATAGGATACCTTTGGCTATAAGTAATAGCCAAATTGTGCTGCTGCTTCTCTCTGGCAGATCTTGAACCAGACTCTTAGCTGCCCACCAATAAAATAAGGATAGTAATGCCTACTTCAGTAGAGTTCTAATGCTAGCACAGCATAACTGCTCAGTGTCCTGGGCACACTGGTCTACTTCCTTGGAGAGGGTCACATCTGCAAACGTCCAAGCAGGAGACAGAATCCACACTAGTAATTTGAAAAAGGAAAGTTTAATATAAAGAATTAACTAGTAAAGGGTATGATCTACTAAAGGATATAGGAATAGTGGAATGAGGAACAGCTACTACCTCTAAGGCCAATGGAAGCAAACTTAGAAGCTCCCCTTCCAGCCTCACAAAACTAAATTCAGACCTCACTGGATAGGTTGTGCTAATCCAGAGGCATACTAGAGCCAGTCTGTACAGGCTTGCAAGAGCCAATTTTGCACATCACTGCCTAAATCTGCACTAAAATTAGCTGTGATGGGAATATTCATGGAAATCAGCAAATGCAACAATCAAGAATTTTTTGGTGTGCAGTTGGTTAAATATTTACCAACAGCACTAGCTGTGGCCCACTGGATGAATGGTTGACATTCACTGAGATGTAGCAGTCCAAGACTGATGAGCAGGAAGCCACTAGATGAGGTATCAGTAACATTCACCAAAGGGTGTGTGCCACTGGATTTCCTGGACGCTGCTGGCAGCTGTACTCTTGTCTAGTGCCCTTAATTATCAAAACCTTCCATTGTACCACCTGACAAAGGGGAAATGTTTACAAGTCCAGCTGTAGTAAAGCAGAACAAAGAATGGTGGATTGAAGCTAGGAGTCAATAAATTGATCATTGGCCTATATTTTAAACTCATGTCCATCTCAGGACCTCCATCTTTGTTCTCTGCCCCCTCTGCATATTTTCCACCTTATGATTATGTCAGTTACGTCTCTCATCTAGATCTCTTTAAATGTTATTTCCTTGGAGAAACCTGTCCTGGCTTCACCATACAAGTTTTTTTTCTCTCACATAAACATACTGAGACAACAAGGTGGTCAGCAAGCTACATCTCTTAAGGGTCAAATTCAAATCCAGCTCATGACCTGTTTTTGTATGAACCATAAGCTAATAATAGTTTTTACAGTGTGGTGGGTGCATTGCCAGGATCCCCAGCTGTCTATAGTGCTGCCTGCTGACATCGACCCTCCCAGGAGGGTCCTAGACAAAAGGGAAATGCCTCAGCAGAGCTTATAACCCTTCCCAGCATGTAATTCATGGGTATAGAGAGCAGGCAGTGAGAACTGGGAAACACTTGAAAAATCTTCCCACACTTCTTGAGGGGTTGCCGGAGGCCTCTGTTGCAGCTACATTACTATGAACTTCTCCCTCTGCCCATCCTGTGGCCCCTTTGCTCTTGGGTGTTCCCAGGCTTTCCCCAGCAAACTTCCACCACACACTCCACTCCAAGGTGTTTCCCAGGGATCTCAACCTGAAAAACAGGCAGCATCAAATAAACAGAGTAAAGAGGTCTGTGAGGGAAAAAGGAGATAAAAATTGCCTGAATTCAGGTCACTAATTTGTAAGACCCTGCCCACATACTTTCTTGTCCATCCATGTATTCACAGATTTATATGTTCATTCTAATTCAAATGCTGTGATTTGGAACTTACAATGAAAAAGGCACAGTCCTTTCCCTGAGTGAGGGGCTGGGAGGTAGGGGGAAAAGTTAACAGGAACTTACCATAACATTGGGTCTATGTCCTGACAGGAAACTGCTGTTGAGAGAATACCTGAGAGAAATTGCAGTCCAAACTCAGTGCTTCACAGTGCTGACCACCACCAGATTATTCAAGTTCCCACAAGTCTCTTGGCTCCCAGGGCACCTGCACCTTGCTGTCACATTATAGCAATTGGTGGATGATTGCATACTGACTCGTCTCCCTGAGGCTCCCTTATTCAGACTATGATGAGAATCGTCCCCACCCTTCTCACTGGGCTTTTACTGAGGCTCCAGCTGTCACCCATTTCCAGGGCTTCATCTTGACAATTTCTTTCCAAAAGCTAAGAGACAAGCCGAAGTTATTGTGGAAGTTACTTGGTAATTTTTTAATTCAAGAATTCACTTTTAGGAATGCATAAAGGACCATAGGAGTCCCAAGAATGGGTTACAGAAGATTCACAAATTTCAATTTGCATGTACATTTTTCTGGGGAGAGCTTTTCTGATTCTCAAGAGATTCTTGATTTAACAGCCTTAGTAACTTGCCTTAGACCAGGAGTCACTAGAATACTTATACAATTGAATTGTAGACAACTAGCAAAGGCAATCCTGAAATCTCAGTAATAGTTATAAAAAAACCTGGACCATCCAGATGACCCAGAATATCTTACATTGTTAATGATGAAGAAACACACACAACACACACACACACACACACACACACACACACACACACACACACAGTAGGTAAGCTTGTCCTAGCATAAAAGATAAAGGAACTCATCAAACAAAGCAACAGGTCAAGGACAGAGTGAACAATGTATGCAAAATCAGAAGCTAAAATAACATCACAGCAACTTGGGGTACTTGAGTAGGGGTGAAACTGACACAAAGTCATATTAAGGCTATAATGAAATATAATGCAGTTTGTAATGATAAACATTAGACATCATACAGGAAAATTATAGACATACTTTATTTACCTAAAGTGAGTTCTGGAAGGAAGAAAATGTACACAGACATAGCTTCTAAAATTATGGAGGATATTTCTGGGTATTTAGGTAGGACTTTGAGATATGAAGTCTGTTTTTTTTTTAATGGGTCTAAAATTAATTCATGATTTTTCCTTTACATATTGTACTTGCACAGAATCATGACAACCAGTCACATTTATGGTCAGATATTAACTCCCAAGTAAGTTGAAGAAGGAGGAAGGCAAACAAGAAAAATTGAGAAATCTTCCTGAGATGACTGGGGGACAGATGAAGAGGACAGAAAATGGAGTTACAGGATGTGTGCATGGTGTACATAACAAGATGGAGATGACTTCACTCACCAGAATTCCTCTTGGGAAAGCACTATACAACAAATTGGAACATTCTCCTGAGGATGACATGAGACCTCCCCCATCTTAAGAAATCACTCAGTTACAATAAAAGTTGGTCACTGGGGCTGAGACTGTAGCTCGGTGGCAGAGTGCTTGCCCAGGACATGTGAAGCACTAGGTTTGATCCTCAGCACTGTATAAAAATGAATAAATAAAGCCATGCTGCCCATCTAAAACTACAAAAAGAAATCTTTTAAAAAGTTGGTCACTAAGTTCACATGAGTGAATTGCTAACTGAAGGGCCTTCTCTTCCTTCCTTAGTGATGGGTTTAAGGTAACTGAGCTAAGTACAGAGGGTGTGGGTATACGGACTGGGTATCTGGCAAGAAGAAAGAAACTGAGATGGCTGATTCCCTGAGAGGGAAGACAGAGAAAAGAGAAAAAGAAGAAAAAAGGAAAAAAAAACTTTACTGTAAGTTTAGCCAAGAAGGAACTGCTGAGAACAAAATGTGTGATGGGATGAACATGTAACAACAAATCCCATCAATATATACAACTATAATGCACCAATTTTTAAAATGTGGGAAAAAAGTGTCTGATAGGATGTACAATGTGAACTTTCCTCCACCTTTCACACAGCATCATCAATGGAATCCTTTATTACTCATGTATTTGTTGGTATGGGTAGAATCTTTAGGGGGAGACCTTGAAGAGTACTAAGTTCTGTATCAGAACTTGCCAAGAGATGAATGTGGCAATAAATTATGCAAGCACAAAAATCAGAAGTTAGGTGACAACCAGGTTTTGTGTGAGAAAGATGTTCTCAACCCAACTCAATTTGAGCTTGAGTAACAAAGGAGCCATCATCATCTAAGGGAAGAGCTAAGTCAAAGAATTTCACCTAGAGCAGGGATGGTGGCTTAGTGGTAGAGTATTTGCCTAGAAAGTGCCCAGCACTACAAAACAAACACTTCTGTTAAGAATTAGGTATTTAGAAACAGAGATACCTGGAACGATGTGGGAACTGTGCAGTCATCTGTTTATTTGTATAACCCTTTTATCAAACCAAGGCTATGAACCTGGAGAGACACTATAGGTGTACAGAATAAATCCACTTTGTGGATCTGGGGAGGTTTTGTTTATTTCTGTGGGGCCGGGATCAAACCCAGGGTTTCACAAATGCTAAGCAGGTGATCTACCACTGAGCTACACTGCCAGTCCTCACCAATGGATTTTGGTTGTGACCGGCTTGTTTCCAAGGACATGATTCAAATTCATTATATTCAAATCTATATAGTAATAAAAATGTGCAAATGGTTTCAAATAAGTATATGCAATACAGCACAGTGATTAAGAGAACAGATCAGACCAGAGATAGAATCTTGACTCTAGCACTTACTAGATGTGTGAGCACAGGTAAATTACTTAACATCTCCTCTCTACCCTTTTTTTTTTTCCCTCTAAGTGCTGGAGATTAACCTAAGGCCATATGCTAGGTAAGAGCTCTACCACTAAGCTACATTCACTATTTTTTTTTAACATTTTGAGAAAGTGCCTTCCTAAGTTGCCCAGGATGACTTTGTACTAACAATCCTCCAGCTTCAAACTTTAGAGTAGCTGGAATTGCAAGTGTGCCCACAGGCATACATCATCTTACCTGGCTATCTCTTCTCATAAATTGTGGCAAGAATACCCACATTATTGATGATTGGGCAGCTCTATAAATTATTAAAAATCATTCAACTGAATAAATTATAACAGGTGATTGTATATATATAAATAATATTTCAATAAAGTGTTCTTTTTAAAAGAATATCCACATCAGGGTTGGGGATGTGACTCAGTGGTAAAGTGCTGCTTACTTGGCATACATGAGGTCCTGGGTTCAATCCCCAAAACCATAAAAGGGGAAAAAGAAAAAAGGTTATCCACATCATAGAGATGTTGTGAAAATAAAAATGTACTGTCAGGCGTGTGCCTGGCGCATAGTAAATACTCAATAAATATTGGTGATTAGTATTAGTGTTAATAGTGATTGAAGAATAGAACAATGAAGATTATAAAGTTAGATTTTTTAAAAAAATCAAAAAATTATTGGGTTGGTAGAAGTGTCAGAGATCATTTAGCATTTAGTTCAACTCCCCTCATTTTACAGATAAAATTAGAGAGCAGCAAGTGAAGTGCCTTATTCAAGGTCTAACTCTCAGACCAGACTCCATGCCCCATTAGTGCAATTCCTACTATCACCCATTGCCTCAAAATTGGACGTGAGTTGGGCGCAGTGGTGCATGCTTATAATCCCAGAGGCTCAGGAGGCTGAGGCAGGAGGATCGCAGGTTCAGAGCCAGCACTAAACAACTCAATGAGAACCTATCCCTAAATAGAATACAAAAAAAGGCTGGGGTTATGGCTCAGTGGTTGAGTGCCCCTGGATTCAATCCCCAGTACCAAAAATAGAAAAAGACATGAAAAATGAAGGATGTGTTTTCTTAAAGAAGAAATGACATATAGAATACAAAAAACATGTAAAGATGTTGAAAAAAGAAAATTTCAAATTTCAAGACCATCAGACCAAGAAGAAGCTATCATATTTCAGCCCATCAGAACCAGCAGCAGTGGGATCCAGGTTATGAGTGTTAACGTGCTTTGGCAAAGCCAGGCCTGGTTAGTCAGGTGAACCAGCTCGTTACTGTGGCCAGATGACTAGTAGAGGTAAAACCACACAGTTCTCTCTGATACTTCCTTATATAGCAGCAGCAGCAGAAGCTGAGACCAAAAGCAAACGCAGCAAAATTCTTGTAGCAGTCAGTCTGGGCAGCCCTGAAGTGGGGATAGCTGCCAAGGAGACCCTTTGCCCATGCTGAGTATTCTGGCCTCAACTGTTTATCCTGTGGCCTTGCCTAATCAGTCCCTTTGGATCCTATGGCCTTCACTTACAATTCTGTAAATGGACTGTCAGTTTCCTCCTTCAATGATACCCTCTTCAGATGAATGAGGAAACCTAGCAGGAAATGTGAAATGACCCAAGCTTCCTGCTTTTTCTTTAATGCTGCCATCTTCTAAGGGAACTTGATAGCATAGCTGGAAGATTTTGAGGCTATTAATAGAAGCATGCTAAATTATTCCAAGGCTAAACAGTGGACACAAGAATGAGATGTGTCATCTAGGTCATGATTTTCTAACATGTTTTTCATGGCGTAAATTCAATGAGTCAACTCTGTAATTTTTAGGAGGTGGTGAATCCTGTTCCCCCATTTTTTAGAAGAGCAACCATGTAGGACAGATGGCAGATACAGACCCCTAATGTTATATAATCCACTGGGGGAGAAGGAAAGAAGGGAAGGGAAAAGGGACAAATGAGAATTAAGGCCTGAGACAGCTTTTATGATTTAACCCAGTACATAAAACTTCTCAATGAATAGTTCATAAAAGTGCCTCATCCTTTTTCAACCAACTATTGAAATTTTAAAAAATTAGTAGAAGGAGAGAGGTTCTTTCTTTTCATTTCATCTGAGAATTTGGGATGTGTGAATATTATGACAAATAAGTCTGACATTAGCCTTTCCCAAAAAAGTTTTTCTATTTTGCAGGTCATTCCATACAATGAATGCTTTGATGTCGGAGGAGGTGAGAGCTCCGACTGAAGGTCTTCTGACACTCTTGACACTCATAAGGCTTCTCTCCAGTGTGAATTCTCTGATGTATGGTAAGTTGGGAGTGCTGGCTGAATGTTTTCTCACACTCACTACACTCATAAGGCTTTTCTCCAATATGAATTTTTTGGTGGAGAAGCAGCTCAGAGTTATCCCAAAAGGTTCTTGCACACTCATTACATTGATGGGGTTTTTCTCCAGTATGGATCCTCTGGTGGACAATAAGGTGAGATGTCCGCCTGAAGGCCTTCCCACACTCGAAACACTCATAGGGTTTCTCTCCAGTGTGAATTCTCTCATGTCTAAGAAGTTCTGAATTCCCCCTAAAGGCCTTCCCACATTCTTTACATACGTAGGGCTTCTCACCAGTATGAATTCTAATGTGTCTAATAATCTCTGAGTTCTGGCCAAAGGTTTTCCCACATTCGTTACATTCGTAGGGTTTGTCTCCTGTGTGAATTCTTTGATGCCGAATAAGTTCAGAACTCTGACCAAAGCCCTTCCCACATTCATTACACAGATAGGGTTTTTCTCCAGTATGAATTTTCTGGTGTCTAATAAGGCCTGAGCTATGCTTGAAGGCTTTGCCACACTCATTGCACTCATGGTATCTTTCTTCAGTATGAATTCTCTGATGCTGAATAAGCTGTGAGCTAACCCTAAAGGTCTTCCCACACTCATTACATTCATAAGGTTTCTCTCCAGTGTGGATTCTCTGGTGTAGAATAAGGGCTGAATTCTGACTGAAGGCTTTACCACATTCTTCACATTTATAGGGTCTCTCTCCGGTGTGAATCCTATGATGATGGATAAGATGTGAACTCTGGATGAAGGCCTTTCCACATTCATTACAAGCAAAGGGTTTCTCTCCAGCATGAATCCTCAGGTGTCTTCGAAGGCTTGAGTTAGTTCCAAATGTCTTTCCACATTCTTTGCATTCAAAGGGTTTTTCTCCACTATGAACTCTCATATGCTGGATGAGATGTGAGTTCTGATTAAAGGCTTTCCCACATTCTTTACATGAATGAGGCTTTTCCCCCACAGATGTCCTCCGAATTCTGTTAGGTTCTAAATTCTCTATAAAATTCTGGCCAGAGGTAGCAAATGTACTGACACTCCCTGCTGTAGCATCTCCCTGATGTGTCACCAGATTAGGAGTAGGACTGCAGCCTCTCTCACTTTCACTATCCTGTTGGTCTTTCTCACTTGAGGGTGATTTCTTAAAGATTATCAACCCTGGTGCAAAATCTCTCTCCTGGGGAGACATCTGTTGTGTAATGTCTTCTGAGGACTCTCTCGAATGTCCCTCTAATATGTCTTCTTCACAAGCTGCTCCAAACCCATGAACTTGGTAAACCACTTTTGGAAGTTTTTCTAACGTTGGCCCATGCAGCTCAGATTCTTCAAAAATTTCTTCCTTAATCACCTCTTTGTTTTCAGTCCCCATCTCAGAATCTGAAATGAAAGAAAATAAATATATGAAGTAGCTGTTTCATATTTAAATGAAGCTAATGAGCACAGGGGGACAGAGCTTTGATGTAGTGCTGACAGCACTATAAAACAGTCTTGGCATTTGGTGAAATGACAGGATGCTGTTGGTGAAAACAGAGATTTAGAATTATGATAGACATGCTCAGAAGCAGATGCTGACTGAAGAGAAAACTTATCAGAGGCAAAGATTTAAAAACAGAAATCAGAAATGGATGGTAAAAAGATACTGATAAATATTCTATAACATTAACAGTGAACTGGAATAGAACATGAGGTTGATAATGAAAACATTTAGGGAAAATGATAGCCATATTCATAGTTGGGGTATATGGAAAAATTTAAGAAAAGGGACAAGGATACTATGTCAACAGAAATAACTTTGGGATTTATAGATGAAGTAACCACAAAATGAGCAGTCAGATGTCCTGGTCTTAGTCCAGTTCTGTGTTTATCACCAGCTGTGTGGAGCAAGGTATAGTGTATATTGGGGTTACTTATTCAAAAGGTTAATGTAACTTAGCTATAACTAGCACATAAGTAACTACCTACCCCTAGTTCCCTACATTTGGATGAAGTAAGGTTCTAGCTTAAATTTTCTCCAGATGGCTAATGAATCATATCAATACCATTTACTAAATAATTATTTTTTCTACTGATTTAAAATGACACTTGTACCATAGTATAAGTGTGTATATATATTTGGGGCTTTTTTTAATGGTACTGAGGATTGAATCCAGGGGGCACTTTACCACTGAGCTCCATCCCCAGCCCTTTTAATTTTTTATTGTTAGACAGAGTCTTGCTAAATTGCCATGGCTGGCCTAGAATTAGCAATTCTCCTGCCTCAGCCTCCCAAGTTGGTGGGATTATAGGTGTGTACCACTGTGCCCAGCTCTGGATCAATGTCTATATTCTGTTCAGTTTTCCTAAATTATTTCTTCTCCAATACCAAACTGTTTAAATTATTAAGCTTTATTTTAAATTTTTTTATATATGTTAGAGAAAGTTCTCTCTCATTAGCCTTCTTTTTCAGATATTTCTTATCTAGTCTCATACTTTTTCAAATAAATTTTAGTATACTTTTGTAAAATTTCCAAATTTGGGTACAGGTGGCACAAGCCTATAATCCACTGACTTGGGAGGCTAAGATTGGAGGATGGCAAGTTTGAGACCAGCCTCAGAAACTTAGCAAGGCCCTAAGCAATTTAATGAGACCCTATCTCAAATTAAAAAATAAAAAAGGACAGGGGACATAGTTCAATTCCCAGTACAAAAAAAAAAAAAAAAAAAGAAAGAAAAGAAAAGAAAGAGGGCTGGGGATGTGGCTCAAGCGGTAGCGCGCTCGCCTGGCATGCATGCGGCCCGGGTTTGATCCTCAGCACCACATACAAACAAAGATGTTGTGTCCGCCAAGTACTGAAAAATAAATATTAAAAAAATTCTCTCTCTCTCTCTCTCTCTTTAAAAAAAAAAAAAGAAAAGAAATTCCAAACTTATCCTGAGTATTTTATATCCATTCTGTCTTTTCATTTAGTGAGTTTTTCTTATATTCTGAAATTGGTTATTATTTTTACATATGGCAAAGATATTGATCTTTACAAATTAAGTAACCACAAAATGAATAATCATAAAATCAGCCCTTTTACAGAATTTTCTTAATATTTTTATAGATTAAAAATATTAATTTTTAATTAATTTTAAAAATTAATTAGATTTTTTAAATTTCCAAAAATCTATGGCAAAAATATTTAATTGCCTATCCCAATATGTATTCTTCTCCATCTCCTCATAACAGAATAATGAATTTACTTACAGAGGTAATGAGCATAGTTTAAAAAATACATTTCCCAGCTTTTATTGCGGCTGACTCTGACCACATGACAAATTCTGGCCAATGATAGTGAGATGCAAATTAAAGCACACGAGGCTACTGGGAAATCTTCTTAAGGTTGATAGGATGCATTTCTTCACTGTCTTCTTCCATTGCTGTTCCTGAGGAGTGATGGAGTGCCAGGTTAGACCATGAGTACACCAATATACATAGGATTGGGGATCAGAACTGGAAGGCACCTGGATCTCTGATGACTCTCACAGCTGCCATATCAATCCTGGAATGATTGCCCGTGAACTTTTTTTTATCTAAATGACTAACTTTTGCCATGCTTAAGCCATTTTTTAATCTTTAACACATTATTATTATTATTATTATTATTTTCATACTGGGGATTGAACCCAGAGGCACTTTACTACTGAGCTATATATCCCCAGTCCTTTTTATTTTTTATTTTTAGACAGGTTCTCATTAAGTTGCTGAGGCTGACCTCAAATATGCAATCTTTCTGTCTCAGACTACTATGTCACTAGGATTACAGGTGTGTGCCACCACACCCAGATAGAAAACATTATTTTATGAAGTCAAACTTATTTCTAATTAAAATATCCTGGGAATTTAGCTGTCCCCATCACAGCAGTGGAGTGCAAATAATAGATAAATGAGCCTGAACTTTGCTCAGATGATAAGCAAACTGGAGCTAATACTGAAGTGGCCCTTTGCCTAGGGCAGTGTATTTGGGCATCATGGCAAATTTGGGGAGTACAATCTTCCCATCATCAATAAAAGTGTTAATTGTGGAAGGTGATATTTATGGGAAGAAAGGCAGGTATAGAACTTCATACTTTAGACAGTGCAAAGTCATGGAAATTTTTTTTCTAAGAAGTGTCTCTGATCAAATGAGCATATCAAATAGATGTGCACTAGTGGTCATTTAGTAGCTAAAGTAGAAAGGATGGTGATGCTTCTAGGTCTTGGCATAGGCAAATCAGTTTGAAGGCTGTTGCAGTCATTAAGACAAGAGGAGATGAGATCTACCTAGGGCAATAGTCATAGAAAAGACTGAAGAAACATTTAAGAGGTCAAATTCTGGAAGATTTGGTGTTTAATTAGATACAAGTGTAAGAAAAAGAAAAGAATATAAGATTGAACCCAGACCTCCCTTAATTTGAGGGATAGTAATTAAACAGATGGCAATGACACCAAGATTAGGAATCCTTTTTGTTGAAATCTCTAAAAATTATAAATATGCATCTATAAAATTATAAAGATCCATTATAGACAATTCAGCTATCTTATTCATCCATGGTAACATCTGAGTTGGGAATTATTGTCTTAAATAAATTTCTAACAGCCATTAAGAACAAATTCCACAAGCTAGTATTTCAGTCCCTATCTACTTCCAACACCTCTCTGGCCTTTCCTTCTTACCTTTATATCTCCTATGATGGCTTATTTTCCATATTCTAGTCCTCATCCACCAGGGATTGAACCAAGGGGAGCTAAATCACTGAATCACATCCCCAGTCCTTTATATTTTGTATTTTGAGACAGGCTCTCACTAAGTTGTGGAGGCTATCTTTGAACTTGCAATCCTCCTGCTTAGACCTACAGAGCCACTAGGATTACAGGTGTGTGCCACCATGCCCAGCTCTCATCTTTACAAAGTTCTTTACAAAGTCAGCATTTGTAGAACCTATATCTGCACCATACCATATAGAAAATCACTTATTTGTAGTAAAACTAGATATAATAGAAGTTAGATACATATCTACCCCAACTTCAAAACCAAATTCAAAATTCAAATTCTAAAGTCTTACACAACTAAATCTGAGCATCTGACCATTCTTTTACTTCGAATTCTGACAGCAACACAATACTAGTGTCATTTGTTAATGTTTTGTAGGTATCTTATATACAAATCAAAGCTAGTCTTTTTTTGATTGATTTTCCCAGAAGCAAAGACCTCATCTTCATATGGAAATACTCCATTTCTCATAGGTAAATTCATATTCCCAAATAGAATTTCCAGTTTTTCTGTTACTGATTACTTTTCTAAATCTGAAATTACTGCTTCTGAAGATTCAGATACCACCTGAGGAATGGAGGTTGATTACCCTTGGTCCTCAATTTGAGGGATGACAGGCAGACCTTCACTGTGTTACCAGAGTTTAGAAAAGGGTCCTTAACTCTGCAGATCTAAATTTGTTTTTTCCTGAACCCTAGGACAACAGTCTCAGAAAACTTCATGCACAAAATACTGATACATACACCAGATGCCTAACAGTGAGAAATAAAAGTTCAAAAGCACCTTTCTGCCTAGATGAAAATCTGTTATGAGGAGATACACACACACACACACACACACACACACACACACACACACACACACACACGAAATTGTTTAGTAGGCCTGCAATCATGGTAGGAAGATCTGGTTAGATAAATGCTTCTTAAATAAAGCTTCTTCTTGGCTTGGAAATAGACTAGCTATGGAAGAATCAACTGGAAAACTTGACTTCCAGATCCTTCCCCTTGATCTCTCAATAAGAATCTCTAGGGGAACCAAAGTACTTTTAACAATTATGCCCAGGGGATTCTGATCCCCAGCTAGTTCTAGTCTTAATGACTAAAGTTGTCCCACTCTTAATAAGGTTTATTTATCTCTACCCAATGTTTGGTCTATGGGAAGTATCACGATTATAATCATTACTCCCAGTTCCCTACCTTCCTCTTTATTTCATTTTATTTGTTTATTTTTTGTACTGGGAAATTAACCCAGTGTAACTTTACCATTTACTTTTTATTTTGAGACAGAGTCTCACTAAGTTGCTGAGGTCCTGTCTTCCTCTTGATTGTCCTTCCCCTACCTTAAATTCCTGAGAGCAGACAGGACAGATAAAATATAATTGACTAGATATTCTTCTCTCTCTTTGTATATGTGTGTGTCAGGGATTGAACCCAGGGCTGCTTAATCACTAAGCCATATCCTCAGCCCTTTTTTATTTTTATTTTTTAAGACAGGGTCTCAATAAATCGCTGAGGGCCTCCCTAAGTTGCTAAGACTGACCTTGAACTTGCGATCCTCCTGCCTCAGCCTCCCAGGTCGCTGGGATTACAAGCGTGCACTACCATGCCCAGCGCTCTAAATAGTCTTTTCTGAGTTAAAAGTACATTTCTAGGAAAGAAAGAAAGAAAGAAATTTGAAAAACCACATTTCTATTGTTTATCAGCTTTACCCTAGTTATTGTGCCCAGATCTGATATTGCCCAAATTACCTAAATCAGTTTACAACAATCTCTTTGATAGCAATATCAGTAAATTCTTTGAACTTATATATCAAAAACCACATTGTGATTTGTAGTAAAACATTATTAAGTAATTTATCAACTGAGAACCTGAGTAGGTCTTTTTAAATTTTTGTTGAAAGCAAGGATTGGAGCTTGCCCTATAAAAGGTCTAAGAATCATCTCTCAACAAATTATACCTTTGTATGGCACACCAGATATTTTTAAGAGGAGATGGGTGAGAGGTGTGTCTTCCTTTTATAAAGGAGGAAAAGAGCAATTGTAAAAGACAAGTTGAGAAAGAGAAGTCTGCAGGCCATAGGCTAGTTCTCAAGAAGGTTGGTTTTAGGTGAGGATACAAACTGAAGTCAACAATCTAGAAATTGGTTTCCAGTCACAACCCACAGGCCCACAGATATTATAAAAAGTGTTTGTGTACCTCAGTTTGAAATGTATTGCAACTGTAGCATTCTGAGAAGAAAATGGGCAAGAAAAGCTTCAGAGATCAGGAAGAATGGGCAGAATAAGAAAGAATATTTTTACTTCAATATAGCATGTGCAAGGTAAAAAGAGATATGCAAGAATGCACTGACAATTTGATGTGGAGAGTGAAGAATACTTACTATATGCTGTGTGCTGAGCAACTTACAGACATCATTTTGTTTAACCTTCACAATCTCCTGGAGCATCAGTATAAGAGGAGCCAATTGGCTTGCTCTCTTGAATTTTCCCAGCAGAACTTTTGGCATCTTGGGAACATACTAGGAATCTGGGAAGATATGTGTAGTGGAAGACTGAGAGAGTGAGGAACTTGGGAATGTTAGCCAGGACATAGTTGAGATAACTATGTGAGACAGGAAGGCAAATGAAGGGAATGGGTGTGGTAGAGAGAGGAGTGGAATGCTAAATGGTTATAGAAAAAATGAATATTGTTAGAAGCACATGAAAACAAGGGAATGTTATCTTGGAAGCTGACATAAGGTTTTATTTTTAAATATCAAAACGTATAATCCACCAAAAATAATATCCTTTGCAACGATTAAAATGTATGATAATAAATGGAAACATTTTGGATATCAACATACAAATGTATAAGAGGATACAATCTTATCAAAATTACTTTGTGGGATAATAGAGCAAGAAAGTTTCGAGTGGCCTTATTCTCTTTTCAGGAGATTTTACCTCACCCAAGACCTCCAGGAGTGCACTCCAAATGAATTTACCCAGATAGGTACCAACCGCCTTGAAATAATTGGTTCCAAATCAGCAGGATTCAGGAATTCCTGGTTCAGGAATAGACATATGCCTTCATCTGGATCAATGATATTTTGAGGAAGTTTACTGGGAGTTTCTGGAAGTTGTTTCTGCCATCCTGACAGAACCACAGGAAGAGACTGCTATATATTGTGGCCTGGACCCGTCGTTGCCATTGCACTATCAGCTTATAGATGAAGGCATGTTGAACTAAGAGGAAGGCCACTGGGTTAAGTTGGGCCTGAAACTGCCATACTTCTTGACCTCCAGTTCATGAGAGTTTATATACTTGCATATTTTTATTTTTTGGTACTAGAGATGGAACCCAAGGACACTTGACCACTGAGCCACACATCCGCCCTTTTTATTTTGAGACAGGATCTCTTAAATTGCTAAGGGCCTCAATAAATTGCTGAGGCTGGCTTTGGACTTTCAATCCTCCTGCCTCAGCCTCCTGAGCTGCTGGGATTACAGGTGGGTGCCACCATGCCTGGCTATACTTGCATATTTTTAAATCAGCTTGAGTTGTATTTTGTTACTTACAAACAAAATAATAACCTTAACTGATACAAATGTTTTCCTTTAACTTCAGAAAGGCAAGTTCACCAATACTCAATATCTAGTACAAGGACTGTCTCCTCCCCAATCTTCACTAGCATCTGCAGGAAGGAGGCTCTCTCTTGGTCCTCTGAACCAGCATTTCACTAGCCCTTTTCTTAACTCTTTGTTCACTATAATTTCCATGTCACCTCCTGTTTATTCCTCCCAAGGCCTCCAGAATAAAAATTTCTTCTAATAGCTCATAATGCCCCTGTGATCAGGCCTGTTTCCCTTCCCCCTCTCCTATTCCTCATTCTCTGAAAACAGCTGGAAGCTGCAGCTATGCTCAGTGACTTGCAGTTCTAACATTTCCCCAAACTTTAAAGTTTCTTTGCCTTTGAGAACAAATTATTCCCATTTCCTGTAATACTATTGCCCACCTTGTTCACTTAACAAACATCTTCGAGATTTAGCTGAAGCACACACAGTTCCTTCCACTGTCTTCCTGACCCCAGATTTTAAAACAAACAGATACTTCTTCATCTTGTAGCAGTTACCCCCACTGTATTATTACTTTCATGTCTGTTTTCTAGACTATGAGCAAGGATAACATTCTATTCATGGGTATTCCCAATGCTTAGCACATTTCAGATACCTGGTAAATTAATTTGTTTAAGTGTTTTATCTACACAGTGAATCTTTTGACACTCTTGGGGGCTAACTGGAGATTTCATTCTCTTCATGCTTAAAGAGCCTAGGACAGTGTCTGACACATAGCTGGTCTCAATAACCATTTGTAAAAATAAGTTCCTTCTCCCAGTCTGGATATTTAACATAAGGCACTGTTGTCCTAGCTCTCTGTACTCCCTCTGGTATTGACAATCAAGAGGGCTCCATTAACTCTGTGCTCAATACCATCTCCTTTACATAACTAACCAATACCCTGTCAGCCAGCACAGGGCACCGTCTACCAAAGGGGCCTTAATTTTTGCCCGCCATTTCATCCCAGCGGTTTACTTGGCGAAGGAATGTCTGGGAAAAGCACAGTTCCCACGGGTCCCCACCTCTGACCCGGCTTCTCCTGTTCCCGCGGTTTGACAGGCATCGAACCAGAACTGGAACAGTTCCAGGCAGTGCCCAGGCCCCACCCTCTCAGTGTGCAAGTGGGGAAATGGAGGCCCCGGGAGAGCCATTAAGTCCAAGGTCACAGCAAACCCGAGTCAGGAACGGGCCTAAACACCGGGCTCCCGCTCGGCTCGCGGGCTGGGGAGTGGGGAGGAAGCCCAGCGTGGTCCTCCTCCCAGCCGTGACGGAATGAGATCTCACCGCTGGCCGCTACCGCCCCACGTTCACTCCGCTCCGGCTCCCGGTGCCGCTCGGCAGCTAGCGCAGAACCTGCAGCTGTTGTCTTGGTGTCACTGGCGACGGGCATCGGCCACTTCCGGTACCCGGGCGACACTCCAGCCTATCGCAGCGCTGAGCACTCGCCGGAGGAACAGGTGGTCAGCCTGCCAACGCCTCCTTGCCTTTTCCAGCTTTGCCTTCCGCGGGTCCTCACCCTAACCCAAGCCCCACTCCGCAGCCGCCTCCTGAGTTGTCTCCTTGGAACGTCCCTGTGCACCAGGCAAAGGCGATGCCCACTTTCAGTCCCACGATCACTGACGAACTGGGTCCTCCGGGTTTCCTAGAACGGCTCCAGGGATCAACTTCCGCTCAGTGAGCGGCCGCTCTGCGCCCTGCCGTAGCTCCCTAAAGTGCTTCTGTGAGCTGGTAGAGTTGGGAATCCGCTTCACCCCCTTGTTGGGACGGTTTGCGCGGCCGGTTTAGCTCCTCCAACCCACAGGCCTCTCTCATCACTCTCTATCCCGAGTTCCGGGAGTCTGGTAAACACAGGCCTCTAGGTCCTATGAATGGGCCGGATTTCTGCTGGGAGCGTAGGGTAGACCTCCTAGGTCTGAGAGGGCTTGAGGGAGTGACATTTGGACATAAATCTGGAAGCGGAGTGTGAGTTACCTAGGTTTTACGAGTAGGGGAACCGGGCGCGGTGGCGCACGCCTGTAATCCCAGCGGTTCGGGAAGTTGAGACAAGTAGGATCGCGAGTTCAAAGCCAGCCTCAGCAGTTTAGCGAGGCGCTAAGCAACTCAGTGAGACCTTGTCTCTAACTAAAATACAAAAAAGAGCTGGGGATGTGGCTCAGTGGTCAAGTGCCCCTGAGTTCAATCCCCTTTACCCTGCTAAAAAAAAAAAAAAAGGAGGGGAGAGAGCCGTTAAGCAGTGAGAATTGCATCCTACTTTGGCCTTCATATCTACCTTGAACAAGCTTGGCCCTTCTTGCCTCTTATGTTTCTCACTTCCTCTGCTCTTTCTCTGTAACTTTGTACAACAAGCTTCTTGTTTTTCAGATTTCAGTTCAAAGCTCACTACATTGAAGGAGCCTTTCATCCCCATGAATGTGTCCTCAAACAACACCAGCCCTGCGGGAAGCATATGATTGGTCCTGTTTGGATCTGATGCTCTCCCCTAGACAAATCAGGGGAAAAGGATAATGGAATTAGCCAAGCCTAGGACTCCTATCTGTTCCACCGGTGAAGACGGACTTCCGGTGAAGACGGACTTCTGTGTTTGCCCCATCACAAATCTGTGAAATAGGAAAGGAGTTTCTAACATCGGAAAGGAATATTATGTTATATATTCAGCACATGAAATAGCAGAAAGGAGGGTGTATACGGTAGTGCAAGCCTGTAATCCCACGGGCTCAGGAGGCTGAGGCAGGAAGATTGCAAGTTCAAAGCCAGTCTCAGCAACTTAGCAAGGCCCTGTCTCAAAATAAAACAAACAAAAACAGAAAGGAAAACTTTCTCTTGAGTTCATCCTTGGACTTAAGCACTAGATTCCAGAGTCCCTCACTTTAGCCACTCTTGCACCAATATCCTTAACTACCTTTCCTTACTATCTTCAACTGTCTGGGAAGTTTGTTGACCTCAGTTGAGTCAAAATGTCTATCTTCCTTGCCCAGGCTGCTAACAATGAGTGGGAAGATTACATTAAAGAGCCCTAAGATAGTTTTATGATATCTGCTTTTCAGAGGTCTTTGACTTACACCTAAAAATAATTTTTTGTTTCCCTACCACTTTGTGTACCATTTTCCCCAGTTGCTGTTTTAATCTTCTTCACTCTGCTTAAACCTTACTCTAAGTCATGATCTAAGAGAAATCAATTATCATCATGATCATTGCCAGCTATGTTATTCCAAAGGAAAAATGCCCAGACTACAAAAACATTCTGCCACAGAACCAAGATAATTGGTTCTATTGGCTTTTTTTCTAGCACACCTGCATTAATGAGCATCTGCTTTAGGAGTCAAAATCAGGGCTGGGCTGTAGCTCAGTTGCAGAGTGCTTGCCTAGCATGATGTATGAGGCACTGGGTTCCATCCTTAGCACCACATAAAAATCAATTTAAAAAATAAAGACATTCTGTTCACCTATAAGTAAAAAAAAAAAAAATGGTGGCAGCATAATGGAATCACCTGAGAATCTTTAAAAATACCAAGGTTTGGTGCCTCCCAGGTAGATTTTGTTAAAGTTGACCCAAAATATGATCTGAGCATGGGTTTGTTTTGTTTTGGATTTTGCAGACAACTATAACATACAACCAGCACTGAAAATCAATGGCATAGGTTAGTACTCAAAAGTGTGATTTCTGAACCAGCAGCATTAGTATCACCTGGGAACTTCTTAGAAATGTAGATTCTTGGGCTCTGCCCATAGTTCTGAATCAGGCACTCTTGGGTTAGAGCCCAACAGTCTGTATAACAAGCCCTTCAGGGTTTTCAGGTGAATCATTAACCCAGGCATTGACTTGCTTCACTTGATCAGTCTTTGTATGTTGGTTAGAAAGGAAAAGGATATGTTGTCTCCTTCTGAGTACTCCCCTGCCCACCATCTGCTGTATTATGCTAGCCAATTTAGGAGCCATCTGTAGCAATAGGATTCTACTGAGGGAAAGAGACCAGGGCATATGGTCTACAAATGCTGTGCCCATTTTCAGTGTGTATGAAGATAAGTAGGAGTGGGTGGGGGCTGATATTTGTTTATTAACAGGATCAGGACTTCCATGGATTTAGTTTATAGTTAAGTATTAGCAGTTTTGTTCTTTCTGAAAAAAAAAGTGTAGGTAGGAAATTTGACTACCCTTCTAAATTAATAGACAGGTACATGACAGATAAAACACATACTGTTCTTTTGCATTCTGTTCCCTCTGTCTGTGGAAGGTGTGGGAAGGAGAGCTAGAAGAACTGACAGTACTCCTTCCTTATGCTATAACCACATCATTTCCCAAATTAGTTTGCAACTCTGATTTAGGCCTAGTGCTGTTCATAATTATATTTTCAGTCACCTATGGCCCATATTCCAAGAGGTACTAAACTATTGGTATCAGCAATCAGTCCTCTTGGATTTAACAGTATTATAAGTGTAAGCCACTGTTAAGATTCTGGAAGAAATGACCAAAAGGTTTGCACCTACGTTATGAACCTTGGAGTCTTTCAAAATCCCTTCTCCCACAGGCGCATAATGCAGGACTGAGGATGATCTAATGTAAGGCACCAGCACACACATAAATATATATGTGTGTTGCTGGGTATTGAACCCAGGACCTTGCACTCAGCTACTGAGTTACATCCTTCTTAAGGGTCATTCCTTGTTCTACCTCTTAAAGTCTCATTATGGGGATTAAATTTCAACATGAATTTGGGGGCAGCAAACTATATTCAAATCCTGGCAACATTTTAAATGAATGTATTTGAGGGCTGGGGTTGTGGCTCAGCGGTAGAATGCTTGCCTAGCATGTGCAAGGCCCTGGGTTCAATCCTCAGCACCACATATAAATAAAGGAATTATGTGAAACTACAACTAAAAAGTAAATAAATATTTTTTTAAAAGAGTATATTTGTTAATGAGCCAATATTGATATTTGATATTAACTAAAGTCTACACCTCTCAGATTTCCTTAGTTTTTACCTAATGTCTTTTTTCTGTTCCAGGATCCCATTCAGAATACTACATTACACTTTTGTCTCTTTAGGCTTTTTCTTGGATTTTCCTTGACATAATAGTACATTTTAAAATGACAACAAATCTACCTCACCATAGGTGATTCAGAAGTAGATGAAAACAACTACCACATTCTCATGAAACTCACAAAGCAGGTGGCATTTATTTATTGATTTTATAGTGAATACTGTGAATCATTTACAATTTTCTTACATGCTTTCAGATGTGACTCTTATATTTTGTCTGGGGCTGAGGGTGTAGATGTGCAATAGAGTACTTGCCCAGCAGGTACTCTCTCCAACATAAGGTGGTGAGGGAGGAAACTTGTTTTAATTTAGGGGATTGGCTTTATTTCACATCTGTGTATAAAATGTTATATATCATATGCTTTAAAATTACTGAACATCACATAAAATGCTTTCAGTAATACCACACGGATTAAGCCAGGCCACCAGTGAACAGGCTACAGATTCTAGAACCCAGGGACCCACCTCAGGAGACTGATTTAGAAGGTCCAGGATGCGGGCAGAGTTATATATATTTTGATCCCCCATGATTCTGATGCATTTTGGAAATCACTAAATCTAAATTTATAGACACAAACCTATACATTTGAATTCAATTTAATATCCAAGTAACAAGCCCAAAATGATGAAATCCACACTAAAGAGAATTAATGATGACTATTTCAGTGAACATGTGCCGAGACACATAGTATACAGATATTCTTAACCCTACATACATACAGGATGTACTCACAAATCCCACTTTCAAATTGGTCATTTGGAGCTGAACATGGTGGCACATCCCTATCAGAAATTTGGGAGGCAGGCAGGAGGATCCCAAGTTCAAGACCAGACTGGGCAACTTAGTGAAACCCTGTCTCAAGATCAAAAATAAAAAGAGTAGAGATGTACCTCAGTAGTTGAGTACCCCTGGGTTCAATCTCCAGGAAGGAAGGAAAGGAGGTAGGAGAGAGATAAATGAAATGAAGTGAAATTTGGTTGTTTGAACCTAAAAGAAATTTTGGTTGTTTGAAACCTTAGTTATTTACCCTTAGAATATTGTTGTGAATGTTGAGTAAGTTCTCCCAACAACTTACAAAAATGTATTCAACTAGTAGCAAATAAAATAGCATGTCCTTGCAATGAATAATATAAAACAATGGTCTGGCAATATTAACCATAAAAACAAAAAAGTGGGGGATGCATAAAAAATACTTGATTTATCTCAAGTGCTGAGATTGAATAAATAGAATGGAGGATAAAAGGAAATGAGGGGGCAGATGGAGTTATTGAGAGGACCTTGTGCATTCTTTCAAAATATCTGAAGGTTATTCGTCCTTTTTCAGCCCAGATTCCTAGGCTGCCTTTTCTCTTA